TTCTTTAGCCCAAAGCGCTCGGAAATTTGGCCCAAAGAAAATCAATTTATTCCTTAATATCACGAAAAAAAATTTATTTTTTTTCCCTTTTTTTCCAACCGAAAATTAATATTTTTCAAGAGCCCCTGGAAAAGCCAAAGCCCTTTTTTGCAAGCCAAATTAACCTATCCCCAAATCTTTTTTTTTTTCTCCATTTTTTGTTAAAAAAAAAAACAAAAACAAAAACATTAAAAAAAAAAAAAAAACCGGGCGAAGGGACCTCTGATCCGACGGTTAAAGGTCACTCTCCTATTTAGTTTTACCCGAGTTAGTGTTGATTTCTTCATGCTCAGTCCCCACATTTGGCCTGCTTTTCTTGCATTAATTCCTCCTTCTTTCACGTCTCTCAATCCGTTTGAGACATTTTTCAGACCTTTGCAACCCCATTCTAGCAGTCACAACTGGGAAAAGTATGAGAATTCCCGGTTTAACTCCGACGCTTCCGGTTATATATAAAAAAAGCAGTTACGCGAAACAAGCAGTGCACACGAAATCAAGTCTCCTATCAATGAGTGAAGGAAATTTCCATAAGGAATTGAGTAGATTATAGCAGAGCTCTCGCGCGAAGCGCGCGCAGCGGAGCACTATGGATAAGAAAATGAAGTAATCTACCCATCCGAGGAAATTTGGTAATAACGTGACCGTACGCTCGCCTGGCCGCCAGACCGTCCGTCCGTCAGCACCACAGGCAAACCAATGTAAAATAACTCAATCAACAGGTTTAGCAACTCGGGGTTATTTCGGCGGGAAATCTTATAGCCACCGGCGTCTTGTAAAGCAGAGACAGCTAGAGTCAATATAGACGAAAACGGAAAGTGGAAATTGTTTCTGTATCCGTGTTGTCTAAAGTATTAAACTTAGATTAAATGTTATGTCCACAAATTTGGAATATAGAGCAGGGGAAAGACAGAATCAAAGAGAAAGTAGGCAACAGGCCAGCGAAGCTCAACGAGAAAAAGGGCGACAGAGATCTAGAGCGAGAGATAAAAAAAGAAAGAAGACATTTTTTTTGTTGGAAGAACAACATCAAAATTTTGTAGCGGCGGTGAAAAAATGAGAGATGCTAGCGGCCACCAATCAAATGCAAGGTGAAAATGAAAATGAATGTAACTAAGATAAGAAGTTTCTGGACGTTTCACGTTGTAGTCGTGCAAAACAACGGCAAAGAAATATACAAAAAAAGTATGCTGCACGTGCAAAGTTGCTTTCTTGCTCATTTAGGGTGCGTTTTTTTGGAGAATCCAAATCTGGAATTCGGAATCCAAAAACGGATTTTGCGTTTTTTTGGGCAAATCCAAAAACGGATCATGAATCCATAAAATCCACACTCTAGCTGGGTGGATTCTTCGGATCAAATCCAAATCTGGATTTTTGAGATTCACAATCTAAGCGTTTTTTTGGCAAAGGATTTGAAAAAAGTAATTTTGACAAGCAGTTTTCGAAACAAAAATGGTACACGACAGATGCCGTACATGTATGACTGAACTGAACCTATGTTGCTGACTTTGAGCCATTTTTTACATATCATTAAATGTTTACTATCTATTTACATTCGTAGACTGTTTTGAAATCCTTACTTGACATCAATAGTTAATGAATGTTTCTGGCCTCCGTTATTCCAAACAAATTGAATTTCAAGAAGAATTAATAAATTTTCTGAGAACCTGACTTTAAGTATCTTCACTTTAAATATTAATCCGTTTCTTTGAAAATATCACATATTACCAACCCATTTCTGAACAGTACTAGTTTTGCTGCGTAGTAAACAGAGTAAATATTAGCCATGAAAAGTCTACTCACCTGAACAGAACGGCACCTTCTACAATACTGTTTCGCAAGCTGTAAACTCGCCATAACTTTCTTCTTAAAGCTGAAATGTTCAGCTTTCATTCGAAATGCTTCGTTTACCGAGAGCTGAAAAAGGGCGCCTCAAAAATTGAGTTTTTATTTTAAGTGGCCGGATACTGGGAAACATGCTGTAAAGCTTGATTAAGAAGAGATTAAAAATGATAATAGCCATGCAGTTTGTGTACAGACGTCTTTTCTTTTCCTTAAGTTGACGACGAATTTGGCGAGCAAGGAAAAAAATTATTTTTTCCTTAATTTCTCACCCCAAGCCCCTTGTGGTTGTGGTCAAAAAATACTCCGCCGGTTATTTATTTTCATTACGTCCGCTCGACGATCTCTAATTAAAAGAGAAAAAAGAGGGCCTCTGAACAAGCCATGATGCCGATTAAGATTGGTGATAAGGTATTATGATTATTCGGCAGGTATTAAGGATTCTCTCAACGACCGTGTTAATACATGTATAGGCTGTGCAAACAAGGGAAAAGTTTTCTTTTGGTTATATAATTATTCAATAAACTTTAAGCCACTTAGCAAAAGCGGTGGGCGAATGTGTCTTGTCCGGAAATAAATATTTGCTGGGCTAGATGAAATGTTCTGCTTGATAAAACGATATTTTTGAATCGCCTCATTGAATATTTAACTTATCTCACGAATTGCTAATTAAAAGACAAACTTACCGACTTACAGAGAGTTTAGCACGTTTCTAGCACAGTTCATCCTGGCGTGTTTGGACAAGGTGAATTTTATCACCGGCAACACTTTTCAATTGTTTCTTCTTTTTTTCTTCATTTTTGGTTTAGTGGCTCTTAATCGTTTATTTCGTTAGTAATTTGTGGCGCTGGATTTTTAATAAAACTGTTATTCTTGACTATTTGGTTTGCCCGGATATGAAATTATCGCAGGTATAACAACTCTGCGACGTCCTAAGGAAATTGTTTATTCAATGTTACTACCTTAATCTCTAAAAATAATTCACAATTTTGAGCGTCTGTTATTTAATTAGTTTAAAGAGAAGATTTATATGGATGCCAGGAAACGCCTCGTTAACTGGATATTAAAATGTGGCAAATGCTAAAGTAGCTAAAAAGGCCTTCTGCACAGAGTTAAGACCAACCCGGCTTAGTTTTTGAGTAAAGTGTAACCTTTGGGGGAAAAAAAGAGCAAAACTTTAAAACTGACAATGGCCTACCAAGTCTGCTATCAAAAGTTAAGTGAGCTATCAACTCTTGTTCAGTCACACGGAACCTTTGTGCTGGTGTTTTGTATTTTAAACATGGTGTTTTCTCTTGTGGCAATTGCTGCAAATTTGTTGGTAATTCGCGCTCTTTGGAAAACTTCATCGATACCAGCCACTATAAAAAAGTTGTTCCTGAGTCTCGCTTTCTCGGATCTTGCTGTAGGAATGGTGGTGCAACTAATGTTTGTCATTATCAACGCGGTGATGTTAAGAATGGCGTCGATTGGAAACAAAAACTTTGCCACATTTTGTCCAACAATTCTGAGTGTATTTTATTTCTTATTTTCCCTTCTCTGCTGCGCTTCGCTTCTAAACATAACAGTCATTGCAGTCGATAGACTTCTCGCTATTTCATTGCATCTGAGATATCACGACCTTGTTACTGCGAAACGTATCAATCTAATATTGGCATCACTATGGTTAACAAGTGGTGGTGTCGGCGCCATGTTTATCTTATTTCGTACGATAAATAACACGGTGGGTGCAGCTTTTCAAGCTTTGGGACTCCTCTTGATGACAGCAGCATATATCCGCATTTACAAAGTTGTAAAATATCATCAGAATCAAATCCAGAGTCAGTTGCATTCACAAAACGCTCAAGCAATGGATCTTCTTCGACAAAGGAAGTCGGCTTTAAACGCTTTATTTGTTTATTTAGTATTCTTAGCATGTTACGTTCCACTTTTTCTCTCTCTATTGTTGCTGCTTACGGTCACTGTAGAGATTCCTTTGTTGTTGTTTGACCATGCTTCTGTTTTCTTGATATTTCTAAATTCCTCATTAAACCCCATACTCTACTGTTGGCGATATCATGAAATTCGTAGAGCAGTCAAAAGCGTTTTAAAGAGGGTATTTTGCAGAGACAATAATGATACTTAGATAATTTACGAAACAGCCATCTTAGTTTTTCTCAAGGCACTTAGGGTGGACAATGAATGACAACGTGAGACTGCGTTTTATTTGTGTGCGGCTCTCCGTGTAAATGTTGTAATTGAGGCAGTAAGTTAATTGTGAGATATAAAAGATCAGGTAAAGTCATCTATTTCGACGTAAACAGTAATAACAGTTACTATGGGGAGCAAATCTCTCCCAGAATGCACTAAATAACGAGCAAAAAAGAAAAAAAAAAGTTTGGGCCGTAATATAAATTGCAATGTACCAGTGAACTGAAGATAACAAGAAAGCAAAAACATATATATTATCCGTCGAAAAAAAAATGCCTGTCTATAAGGAGGAATTTCGACAATACACTGGGTAAGGCCTGGTTGCTTTTATATGAAGTTTCTTGCGCTGTATTGCGGGAATATTGAAACTTTACTTAAGAAATCTTTATTAAACAGATTGTTTATCTCAGAACTAATTTTATTAAATAAACCTATCTGGCTAGGATTTGTTTTAAACTTAGGCCTAAAAACCTTTTTCTAAAACAATCGTATAATTGTTAATGGGCGAAACATTTCTAAATTGTCAAAAACCTAGTTAGCTTTAGTTCTCGAACGTACCTCCTCATTTATTTTTTGGGAGCTTTGCAAATTTTCAAACTTTAAACCAGGCTATTTCAACTAGTTACAAATGATGGACTCTGGGTAGTTGTGATAGAATTAATACCATTCAATTTATAACAATAATTAATTTAAAATTTGCAAATGTTGTGGATTAAATATTTTGAATTTCGTGAATAGAAATACAAATTAATTAACATTAAAGGAAGATCAATATAAAACTAAGTAGAATATCATTTCAAAGTTGAAGTAAGTAGAATTGCAAGGATGCAAAGGCTACAAAATATAAATATTTTTAAGAGAATGGTAAGTCTAATTCACGAGCTCCCTTTCAGGTTTGGCCAAGAGAGAATAAAGGGCAAGAAGGGAAAAGCCCAGTCTAGCCCTTGAGACATGTGAATTTCACCAAACATAGACCAATTAAACGCTTGAAATCAATCGGAACCTAGTTCCCGGCGAGGTCCGCAAACGTTTAGTTAGCGTTGTCAAGAGAAAATTCAAAAATCTTCATTACCATGCATACTCTCCATTGTTTGCTTGAAAGCAGTCGCGCGTGGTCTTTATAGGCGAATCTTTGTTTACACTTTTTGCCTCATTAACATAAGCTTATCACTATCTGATGACGCTAATATTGAAAGGGTATAACAGTTTCAGTTATCTCTGAAAATTTGAGCCCAATACACCGAATGGTTTCGGAGATATTCTCTTCCAAAAACTCGAAATTTTACAGAGGTTGTATCGCTCATTAACTTTTCAGCTTGCAACACAGCAATTTCGCAGTTTTTGATGGCTGATATTTCCTTCAATCTTGCTTCCAAAGAGCTTAAAATTGCACAAATTGCTCAACTTAATCAGCTTTTTCATCAACTTTTGCATTTAGTTCATATATATGACCACGGCTTCTACGAGTTAAGTCGTATGCTAATGAGGAAAAATGTAAACAATGACATCAGCAAAGATTCGCCTTTTCAAACAATTATTAAAATGTGCGGACGTCTCAGGGATTAGGTTTCCGTTTAGAACCAACCTCTAAAAATAACTTGAAAGACCTCCACATATCCCTGCCAATACCTTTAAAAGATTCCCTCTGTCCCATTAACCTCTCTTAGCTTGGAAAATTTCCATATAAAAGACTTTTGGAAATAACCAGACTGCTAACAGCTTAAATAACTTTCTCCGCTTGCCCTGCTCTGAACTGAAAATCAGGCCGAGGCGCTATTTATTTTAGTTTTCGTTTCGTTGAAGCTGCGTGCATTTAAGAACAGTAATTTAGTATATTAGCTACATACATGCATCAACTATCGAGCGGGGGACTAGCTTAAATGGTATAGCGCCCGCTTAGCATGCTGGAGGTACCGGAATTGATACTCGGATACTCCAAAATACATGTATTATATTTTAGTGTCGAGACTGAGTTTTTCACTTGCAGGAATCATCATTAAGTCTTCTATACGGCAATAAACATCCCATTTAACTGAAAGTTCATTTCTTTAGTAACCAAACATAACCCTAAGTCCGACTGTCAGAAAACGATAATCTTATCCCCCTAATTTATTACTAGCCTCGAGTCCTTCTTATCCCTGAAAACCGTTGCCGATACACTGCTGTTGGTCTATACAAAAGTAACCAACATTTTTTAATCTTGAACTTTTCCTTCTTGAGGTAAAAAAAAAGGAAAAAAATACAAATGCAAGTAAGAAAGAAAAGAAAAGAAAAGAAAAACAACCACAACCACAACCACAAAAACAAAACAAAATAAAGAAATGTAGACCTGGAGGGTGGTTTTCAGTTTCAATCTAACAGTTTTCAGGTTTTACTATGACATAAATGAGTCCTCAGCCCCCATCAGAGGTTTTTATATGATTTTGATTACTGCATTGATATCGGCCTTGGCATATATAACAAGGTGAGAAGTAGCATGGGTACAGACAAATAAGAAAAATATAGGACGCAAAATGCCTATACCTGCCTGATTTGCACATCGCTCTTTACCACCACCCACCCGAACCTATGTTATTTGATGTTTCAGTCATCACTGCAACCTGGGGATTATATTGTAAAGCGACTTTTCTGCGGAGACTAGCTGTAGCCTTTTCACAAATGCAACTTCTCTCTGATGATTCAGGACGTTTATTCACTTGGTAGCTTCTAGTTTTTACAATAGGCCATTTGCACTTAGAGGTCATCCATGTGACATCGTTTTTATGAAAATGAAAGTCATATGATTTTGCCTTCGAAAAACGATTAATGGGTCATATCTTAAACAAAATAATAGTGATTTGGTTAAAACGAGTAAGTTCGTAGCTGGTCACGTGACCAAAATGTGATTTTTAAAACTATGAATTACCTCTTTCTGAACGCAGATTTTGCACTTAAACTTCAAGGAAAATGTTGAAAGGATGATGTGGTAACGTTTACAGCACATCTGAGCGTAACTATCAAACGTTTAACAAGATATAAGCAAAAAGTAGTTTTGGCCGCCATATTGGAGGGCAAGTATATGCCCTCCAACATGGCGGCCAATGCAAATCATACTACTTTGTTGAAAAATCAAAGTGCCATAAATATCTCCCTTAAATGCGTTTCCTCCAAAATTTCGGGTTTAAGATAGTTTTTATGTGCTCTGTCAATTTTTGGCATCAGCAAGATTCCAACTCATTGTTTAAAGGAGGCATTGGTCACGTGACCTCTTAGTGCAAGTGGCCTATTCTCTCTATATTGTTGTCGCACCTTACCTTTTTTACTGATTAGTAAACCCATCTTCTGAAGTCTACTGTGATTGCCTAGAAGTGACTCATCCGAACGAAACCGTCGAGGCGTTTACCTTGTCAAAATAATTTTCTTCGTCAAATTTCACTGTTAAGTTTGGGCTTTCCAGTCAGTATGAAACAAGGAGAGTGATATAAAAATTAGAAGTTGTCGAGTATTATATAAAATTTTTACAATACTAGTAAAGAAGGTTCTAAAGTAGTTGTTCGAAATTTATACGGGTAATCGATCTAGGTAAGTTGTCAAGCTTCTTCTCCGAATGTGATTGGCTAAGTTTGGTTATGAATTAACTATGTGATGCCAAAAACACAACCGTACGAATCTGATTACAACACGGGTGCCTAATAACTTCTTACAGGTCATTTACAGCTTGAAGACTCAATACAGCTATGATGTGACAGAGAATTATCTTAACTATTATTTATTTAAATTCTTTTCACGGAGTTGGTATCAGTTGATCATAAATAACAATTTCCATTGCATGCATTTTTATTGTTTAACAATAAGCACGTGATTGGGTCAATGTTTCGATAAGCAATGATTTTTTTATGCAGAGGAAAAACGTGACTGTACTAAAGCTGTAAAATTTCGCTGCCAAAAATGAAGGGAGGAACTCGCGTTTACAGCAGACCCTCTCAATTGACTGTATTTCGAATGGTGTTCGATTTTAGAAATATATTTTTTTGTTTTAGACCTGCACTGCTTTGATTGGCATATAATATTGTTAGATTTGAAGATTGCCTGGCTCCGACATTCCAATGATAAGTATTTTTGATAATTTTTTATTCCATCCACTGTTGAGAATACAATTAATCGAACACACCTTCAAGGAAACAGCAGCGCGCGCATTCGCGAATTCGAATAGTGATTCCAAAATTTTTGTTTGTGATGCAGCCGAACGTCATCACATTAGATTTATAGCTTTGAAAAGATTTTGCATGCAAACGGCTTTAACATGGGAACTTTATTTTCTTCGTGTACTAAAGCGAATGATCGTGAATGCTCGTCGTCACAAGAGGAGACCCTGGCGAAGGAGAAGAGAACGAGAAGAAAAAAGAAAGAAAAACCGCCAAAAACCAGAAAGAGCTTGCGAACTTCCGAAGCAAAAGATAAACTTTCCGTTACTTCTGTGAAATCTTGCAGCAGTGCCTGTAGAAAGAGCAAGTCAAGTTTAAGTGAAAGAGCGCAATCAACTGTAGATTTAACCGTAATTGGCCGTGCAATCCCGATTTTAGAAGCATCGATTACCACTGAGTTCGAGCCACGTGCATCAAATACACAAGTTATTAGGGTGCAGCCTAATAACACGAGCGATTATTCCTCAGAGGAATCTTCTCAGTGTACAGGACTCAAGAAACCTTTAACCGGCACTGAAACAAGCGCCTCATTATTAACTCCGCCTGTGGTAGAGGCGAGTCATAGCGAAAGCTACAACGATCCAGTATGTCATGGTGAAGAATCAAACAAATCTGTCCCAACAGGACAAAAATCTAAAGAGCAAGAAACTCCTGCACGAAGCAGCCATTCTCAGCTACTTGAACTGCTTAGAATACGGCTTGACATGGCTGCCAACAACATGGAGATTAACAGACTAATGACAAACGTCGATAGGGCTCTCGATAGAACAACTAGAGCCCTCGAGCTTGGCTTCCAACGCATTATGGCTGCTCGAAAATCAAGGCGCATCCACGCCTTATCGCAGTTCCAGGAGCAATCTTCTGCTATGGAAGAAGAGATGGATTACAATGAAGACGAGGAGGAGACTGGTACCACCGGGGAGGAGACATGCGGCGAAGATGACGAGTCAAGTGCTGAATTTGAGACTGAAGGAGGCGATGAAAGCGACGAGGAAGGTGAAATCCGTCCACCCCTTCGACCAAGAATTTGTTGGCAATAATTGCTTTACTTCGTATACTGCTCTCTCCGTTAACAACGCATCGAAATAACTACAGTGTATTATGGGCTTTCTTTGCGCTAATAATACCACACTATAAAGAGGACGAATTTTTGGTCTTAGATTGAGGGTGTAAGATTTCCGTTCTGGGCCTCAGATTGCCGTTGATCTCGTTATTTTCTGGTCAGCAACAACAAAAGACAAGATAGTTCTAAGTCATTAAGGTTTTTTTCGCACTCAGCTCAATCTCGTAGGTAATCGTACCTATATAATTATCTGGGAGTCCCTCATGTCTACTTGGAGTTCAGTTACTTGGCCTCTTAGAGGAGCGTCATCTGCGAATCAGTCCAGAAAACTTGTGTATTGCCAGTACATGATGTGCGTTAAGTTGGAATATCCATTTATTGTGAACTGATACTACAAAGAATGAATAATAAGTGAAGAGGTTTTAGCCTTATCTCTTAACTGTGATCATTCCCTCGTCAAGTTATGAGAAGGTGGCCATGACAGAGAACACGAATAAGAAAAGAACAAGTGATCAAAGTCCATAATACATTTGTTCAAGTAAAGACTCCTGACTATAATTATTTCGCCAAACATACAAAAACCAAACTATGGCTTTGGATTTGCTATTCCTTAAAGTTCTGAACAGATGGAGGGCAGAGCTTTCGGAGAAAGTGGGTTTGTAAAATATACATATAAATATATATATATATATATTTTTTTTTTTGGGGGGGGGGAAATTTTAGCTTGACATTAAGACAACGAAGAGATAAATAAATATATTCTAATATTTAGTATTTTGCCTTTTGATAAATGTTCCTTTCAACTTGCTTAGTTTTATCCTTTTTGTTGCCTTTTGCGCTTATCAAAGAAACTCGAAAACGTTGATTCGACATTGATGTCCTATCCGCACAGGTGAAAAAAAAATGTATAGATTTTTGGGAAATTTTCTGTCATCACCATCAACACTTATTAAGAAAAACTGATGGTTGCAATGCCGGATCCGGACCTTGAGATAAGCGGGGCCGGTCATCCAGACTGTTAGATAAAGTGGGGGAGGGAGGGGGCGCCCCCCAAATTTTTTCGGCCCTTCGGGCCTCAGTTTGGTCTAAAACTAAGGGGGGGGGGGGTCCCCTGGATCCGCTGCTGGGTTGGACGCGTAATTACAAATTTTTGCTCACAAAATTTGCCCCAGCAAAGAACTGGACTTGGGTGGATAAAGCAACGTGTTTTCTCTTGCCAAATCACTTGTAACTATAGAGAGATGCCTTTCAAGATGATCAGGTACTCGGACGATCTTGGCAATCGCAACTCAATTGTAACAGTGTTGATAGAAATGAAGTCTATATATAGACTGGTTTCCTTATGACGACCTTGTGGGTACAGTTCATGATTATTACAACTACATCGAGGCGATCTATATAATCTGAACATAGTTAAAACAGGTTCCTGCCCCTCATCAGCTATGTTGGGATGATGAGGGCATTTTTTATGGAACGAGGAGTTTCCAAAAAATATTCAATGTGATATTATATATTCAGGTCAAGGAAAGTCAATTGTTGGTTTGATCACCCTACCCCTTGTGATAAATTGTGCGTTTTTGGGGTCAGCTAAAAAGATTTTAGAGCTCAAAGTGTTGGTGAGGTCAGTGCGTACCAGCCATGCGTGCAATTTTCACATAGTTTGCAATGTTATGCTCGGGAAGGGTATAGCGGCCCGAGGGCAAAGATTTATCTGGCTCAGTTACAAATAATCCAAACTTCCCACAGATGAGTTCTCATGGAAACAAAATCAATTTCAGGTACCATTACCGCGAAGCGGTTGGATATCACACCACACCAGAATCGGAAATGGGCGTCAACATCAGCATCTACATTCAGTAAATTGCAAAATCCCTAAGGGAACAAGTCGCTGAAGCCTGACAAAAAAACTTCTTTTGGAATATTACGTTCTATGATCTGCTCTTTTGTTTGATAATTTTGCCTCCCAAGACTCTCCGATTTTTTTCAGACCATTTGGGCAGGGATTTCTCTTTTTTTGTAGCTAGTTGATTTACCTATCGTGAGAAGATATCACTCCTTTCGTTTAGACAGAATATTTTCAACCCGATTACTAAAGGTGGTTTTTGAGGTCGAGAGGCGCCTGGCTCTGGTGGTGCAGCACCGAAGCTCGGGGCTAGTTTGCTCAGTGTTCTCGATTGTCTTGTTTTGAAGAACATTCAAATTGGCGTCATGGACTAGAAAGGGTATGTTCGCCGGCGACGAACGTGCCGATATCTCTCTATGAAAAGTTCGAGCGCCTATTGTAACATTTATAACAGTTTATTTTCCTTATATACACTGGGAAAATGCACCCCCTACGAATTCCGTACCTAAAGAGGTCATAAATACCCCTTCAAACTACTTTCATTTTCCCCTCTATTAAAGTTTGATTACGTCGTCAGTGGTGCCAAAGTCTCAAAATATTGCGACATTGTAGATACTAATCCTTTGCACTCTTAGTCCAGTTTTGGCCCCTCTCTCTCTGTCCAGCAACGCCGGGAAAGAGGGTCCCTCTCTCTTGCATTGGCGTTGCGGGACAGAGAGAGAGGCGCCAGAACAGGACTATTGCAATGTAGATTCGAGCTTTATGGAGAACTACACACGTCAAATGTTATTTTTTTGTACAAATTGAGCAGAAAGCACCGTTTCTGTTGCAAGTCGTGTCCAAAGCTCGTCGTTTTCGACTGCCATTCAGTTGGGACGCTATTTTTAGCCCTTAATTTACTAGCGGTCGGTGTAAAGCAAGAACTCACATAGACATGCTGACTACGGATTCGCTGATTGGTTGAAATAACTAATGCCCAGCACATCTGGCTGATAACCAGCATTAAGTGAGGATGTCCTCTCTTGCCAGCATAATATCATTTAATAGTACGTATGAAAAGGAAAAAAAAATGGACGTTTTTGCTTCAACGGCTTGTTTAATTAATCAGTCATAAGGTCGATTTTACAGTGTTTTAGGAAAAATAGAATCACAGAATGGTGTCTACGTTCCTTTCCATACTTTGGGAGATGTTCTACGAAACGATGGGTTTTAAAAGAAAATGCTATGAAAATGCTTCAACAATGATGCATATGCATCTATCTATAGTCACTTATATTATATAATAACGTTAGATCGTTCCCAGTTGATGGCAGTACAATTTTTCACTAGCAGTTTGTGCACTCAAAGGAGAGGTTGTCAACCAGTTTGAAAGGAGAGAGGGAGTGAGGAGTTGGCGGCTATTACATGGTAGAACCAGAGAACCAAATTTTCCTGGCGATCTTCACTTTACTGGTCACTTCTTCACCATTGTTTCCCACAAAAGAGATGTCGAATTTATTCTTCTTGAGAGGATCTTGGATTTCTCCGGCTACAATCTCTGGTGCACCAGAAATGCCAGGAATCTCGACTTCTGTTCCGTACCTAAGCAGCAGATCGTCAGCTACAATGTTGCCTACGCCATCAGGCGGTCCTTCGAGCTGGACAGCCTTATGAAACAACAAAAAAACCCGTTTTGTTAACATAGTTATATATCTTATACAGTGGAACCCGCAACACGAACGCCTGCCGGGGATATGCTCAATATTTACTGGGTTGGCCGTAGGGATCACGGAATCCCAAGTCTTTACCAGACCTAGATCAGCGGAATTTTGGTACCCTATACTAGTCAGACTTAACTGACCAAATTCCCCCGCCTTCTTTGCTATTTTACTGAATTAATTTTTTCAGTATCTATCCCTGGTTTCCTCAGTCTAGAGAATAAGATCTTCAACAAGTTGATCAGTTTACTGGAAACATGATTCCCTATTTCTAGACCCACACTCTCTGCTAACTTTACAACCTATCCCAGTATAAACTGATTGTAAAGCAAAGCCATATTTATCTTGAAACATATGGCAATATTGTGGATTCCGGATTCCTTGATTCCTGATTTTAATCTTAAACGGGATTTCGGATTCCTTGGCCCGAATTTGCAGGATTCCGTATTCCACAAGCAAAAATTTGGCGGATTCTGGAATGCGGATTAACTTATTTGGGGCGAGAAATTTTTTTTTCTCTAAATTGATGAAATTGGTCGCGTGTATTAGTGAAAAAGGTAACGAGATTTTATTGTGAAATTACTTTCAATCTAGTACCTCTTTTTATACAATTTTGTGTTTTTATGGCATGGAAATGTTCAATTTTAACTCTACTTCATTACATAGTTTACCTGAAAGAAATCAGGGCTCTTGGTCGGAATATGGAACAAAAATACGTTCTTCTTGTCCCCATACATGAAGTAGGAACTAGACTCTGGGTAGTCATCGTTGTCAAAGTGCTCGTAACGTGGCACGTCCACGATTTTCATCTTTGGGCTCATGAATGGATTCTTGTCGTCATCGGATGGCATACCAACAAAACAATCAAACTTTTCCTTCTCCCCAGCATATTCCGATTCTTCAAAGAAGACATCATGGAGTTTCTGCTTCCCTTTGCTTCTAAAAATTATTGGCTGAGGATCTGTGCTTGATTGCATCAGCTTTGTTTGCATGCTGATGTACTTTTCGGCGGCTTTGTCATTCATGAACTTGAGCTTCACAACGTTGTCGTACTGTTTGGGGACTTCGTTAAAGTCTCCCACGTAATATGCGATCACCTCATTTTCTTGATTAACGACTCCCGTGCTGACGAAGTTGTGAAGGACGTTAGAATCTGTGACCTGCAAAAGTGTCGATGCAGCTATATGATGCAGCTTGTGAGATAGTCGTAAAATTGTTATTGCTTCAGAGTCAAAATGGAACGACACTGAACTCTCAAGAACGACATCGACATAACTATTATCATCATGATATGTGTCATGTTGGGAACTCCTTAGAATACCCTATTAATACTCCGTCAATAGACCAATGTCGATATATTAAAATTCATACTTGGCTCCGAGGCAAAAAAAAAAAGAAATGTATCATTCATTTCTGAACCTGACTTCTTTTGTTTTATTCCCCTAAGCCTCGCAGCCAAGTAGGAACTTAACTTATCAAAACTGGTCGACTGGATTTCATTGTACAATTTTAATCAAATTTTGTCTAAATCTAGACATTTAAGTGTTTAGGGTCTAAAAGGTACGGTCTTTTTTGGGGGCATGAAAAGGAAATGCCCCCCCCCCCCCAAAAAAAAAAAAAAAAAAAAACTGGCATTCTTATCCTTTTTTTAAAAAAAAAAAAAAAAAAAAAAAAAAATAAAAATATAACAAAAAATAAAAAAAATTGCAAAAAAAAAAATTAAAAAAAAAAAAAAATACAAAAAAAAAAGGGAAAACCCTTTCACCACCCCAACAATTAATATACGGTTATACCGGAAAAGACAAAAAAAAAAATTTTAAAAAATTGTCGATTTGTTTTCTTTGTATAATTTAAATAAAATTTTTTATTAAATAAAAAATTTAAAGTTTTGGGGTCTAAAAGGTAGGGTTTTTTTTGGGGGCAAAAAAAGGAAATCCCCCCCCCCCCCCAAAAAAAAAAAAAAAAAAAGACTGGCATTCTTATCACTTTGTTACAAACATTAACCGTGCATAGCGAACTTCATATTGTCACCAAATTTCGTTGAATGTGCAAAAAAAAATTCAATGAATAGAAAATCTTCAAAATATCAGAGGAAAACCTTTGCTGCCGCTGAATGATTAATTAAGGGATTGATGCGTGTCTTTCATGGTTGGATCATTGGCGCTCATCAGCCAGACTGCTTGGGTGTTTAAATTTCAGGTGACCTTCACTAGACAAATATCAGTGGTCCCTTTTAAGCTAAAAATAGCAATGTAGATTTCTCATACCGTTCCAATTGCACAGAGAATGCTGTTTCTCATGAGAGAAGCCATGTCATCCATAAACTCTAGGGAGGTGGCCCATGGATCCATGCAAGTTGTGATGATATACTTCACGGAGCTGTCATTGTCAGGATCAAGCTAAGATCAAAAGAGCACCGTTGATTATCGACCGATGAACCAATCAACTATCTTTAATTTCGACAATTGGCTAATTATTCAAGGTCAAGCAAAAATCGCCTTATTTGCAATTGCGTCTCGGGATTGATCTACAGCGAACTCTCTCTAATCGCTCGGAAACCAAGTTCCAAGTATAAAAGGAACGGGGATTCTCGTCGGAAAAGTAGAACTTAACCCCGAGCAGGGCGTAGCTGACAGACTCTATCTGGCACAGAAACAGACAATCAAATAAAAACAACCCACAGCGACTTTAATTTTGTCAAAGATGCACCTTTATCACGACTCTTGGTTTGGTTTCATTGAGATGCTACTTCTTTACGCTCAACACCAAGTTATCACTGTATGAGTAAAAATGTCGGCTTTTTGTCCTGAATACCTCTAAGTAAGACTAAAATCAGCAATTAACACTCCAAACGAGACGACCAGTATTCCCGTGTCCTGCTCATGTTAGTCCCCTAGACCTAGAGTTCGTTTCTGCACAAAGAGAGTTTCTTAATTCTTTTTATTTTAAAAGCTATCTATTTCGCCCATTTTTTTATTATGAAAATTGTCCTTCGATATTTGCCACGTACGGTCACAGGTTGACTTACCCCCAAACGCTTCTTGAAATGTGACGCGGCAGAACTGTGCTTGTGAGGAATCAAACTTGAAGAGGTGACGATCATTGGAATGCGATGTGCTGTATGCTCGCTCGACGAGTGACTAAGATCTTGGAAGATGGCATTGTTGATTTTATTGCATAGATCAACACTCTTGTTTCCTTTCAGGTTTACAGAGAAACACGGAATCATGGTGTCAGGTCCAACTTCTTTTAAGTACTCCATTGCTAACTCATCCTATATGACATATGCACAGAAAAACAAGGTGTTGTTATTATTTCGCCTTATGTACGGGAATCCAGGACAGTCCTGGATTCTGGATTCCATCCCGCGGATTCCAAATTCCAGGTACTGGATTCCAGTCTTGGTCGGTGAAATTTGGATAATGGATTCCAATCGTGAATGGATTTCTGGAATCCTTGACCTGTAGTCCAGATTACAAAGCTCCGGATTCGGATTCCACAAGCAAAATTTTCCCGGATTCTGGAATCCGTACTCCTTTACATGGGGCGAATTATTCATTTGAAACTGAGCTATTCCTCTATCACCCGCCGGTAAAAAAGTCTGAAATTTGGGTTACCTGTGCAAGTTCCTCGTTGGACTTTCCAAGAATTCGTTCCTTAATGAATTTCTTCTGTTGTATTTCCGTCCAGTTCTTGAATTTGGGTAGAGGTTTCGTTGTCTCGATGACAAAATTGTCGTCATTGTCAGCTAGCGTTATCCACATGCAGTACATAATCTTGGCTGTAAACATGCATTCAGCTAGAACACGCCCGTAGCCGTTTTTGTGGAGACCTATAACCTGAAACGGTGGAATTAGAAGTGCGAATAGGTATGAGCGACACTAATTAGTAAAGTTCATCAAACGTAAAATATATCGGTAAATGGTCTGTTTTTTTTTTCCGAGAAAATTTTAAAATCCATAGTTTGTTACTTTCTTTTCCATGGAGTTATGTTTCTAGGCATTTTTTTTATTGTTTGTTTGTTTTATTTTCTTTTTCTCATTATTTTTTGTCATCTTATCTTAGCTTCAGTCTGTTAGTACTCCCCTTTAAGTGAACTCACCTCCAAAGGGTGTTCTGTTTGTTCATTTACGTTTCTGCCAGAGCTCATTTTATGACTAAAATAGTAGGTTGCAGATTACAAGGGACATATTAGACCTTTTCTCCAAAGCACCTAGTTGGGAGTAGGAATTGGCGCCAACATGAACACAGCACGTAAACGACACGTGGTTTCTCTTGTTTAGAACATTTCTCTCGTGTGATTGCTTGACCCGCTTTGGTTACTTATCAGCCCACGGAACTTGCCTCGGGAACTGTCGTGGGTAATTCTTTTAATTTTTTTTGACGTGCTCATGACATTTCACTTAGGCTATTTCACCTTGCGAAAATCGGTCACGGGTAAAAAGTTGCTTCCCCGTGGGCAAAGCCATTTGCTCATGGTTAAAACGGCTCTTGTATCCGCAACTAAGTATTATGAAATTTGAAAGACACTATTCAAGTGCAATTTTTAGCCAGTCAGATTAGAGTATATATTTTTGCGCTGAACTGAGGCGGAGACATTTGAGAAAATGTTAACTTTCTTCGTTAGCCTAGCAACTAAAATTATAATATATACTTTAATTAATCATTCACACGATATTATAGTAGTCACTGAATTTTACCCTGTTTGCAAGCATAACACCAGCAGCCGCTGCCCCGGGTTTGGAACCTTCGATGCCAATGTCTCCAAGATTTACGTCACCATGGTAATATGCAACTGCAGTTGTTATTTGAAGAAATGTGTTCATGTCGCTGTCTCTGTAACAGAGTGCTCCCGCGGGGTATGGGCAGAAGCCAGATTTGTGAGGATCTATGGTGATAGTATCGCATTGATGGAGCGCTGATAACTGCTCATGGACGTAGGTACTTAAATACAATTCGGGAACAAATCCATCCTCTGGTGTTATGACAGTAGCGGATTTTGGCTGGTCGCGCAACATGCTGCAGAAATATCCACCCCAGGCTCCATCCGCGTGGACGCAAAAGTTGAGACCCTTTAGAAAATAATAGGTACATTTCAGGATGTGAGCTTGTCAAGAGATTGTGGAAAGGGTGACCTCTAGCACAGGGAAGTGTGAAAGTTTAATTATTTACTTAGGAGTTCTCTCCAAGAATTCGACTAGGTTTCGCTAAATTAATACCCTTTCTGACCTTTGAGTCTCGCGTTTAATTGTTCAAGATCCAAAGTACACTCCGCAGTCTTAGAACCGGGCTGTGATTGTTCTCTGTTTTTAATCGTCCGTGTTTCAACAGACGTTCGTAGCGGGGCAGGAACGCGTGTCCAAACCCTAACAACGCCTGCGTTGGAGGCTAGAAACAAATGAGCACAAGTGACATTTGCATTTATGTCTTAATTAACCCCGAATTTTAGCTATTTGGAGAGTAGTGTAAAAAATCAAACCTAACCTTTTTGCTAAATTTTTTCCTCAAATCAAGAATTTCTGTCAAAGGATCGACGGCGCTTTCTTCCGTTGTTCCCATCACAGATACCACTGTAATGACTGGAATCTCTTGCTCCAATTTTTCTTCGAGAACACGCTTGAGATCTGAAAGATAATGCACACCGTTATATCACCCTTGGAAAGTTCTATTACGAGTCGCAAAGAGCTATGTGAGTGAAGTACAAAATCTTCTTCATCTACCATCACAAAGATGTCGCTAAATCTTTCAAAGATGGTTTTTATTCTCTTTTGAAGTCACGGGATGTAGCATTGTATATAAAGTCAATTCACTAACCTATTGGGTCCATCCGGGCATCTTCGTCAACTGCTACCGTCACCAGGCTCTCTCGTCCGAGACCAAGAATAGTGACTGCTTTAGTTAGGGAAATGTGCGCCGTGCTTGGGACGATAACGCAGGCACTCTGAGTTAGCATGTGTCGTCTAGCAAATTCTTGTGCTCCAATTGACTCGTAAAGATGTTGGCCCATAATCTCCATGAATGTCTGATGTTCCATATCTAATTTTTTCTGTACATCAGAAGGCATCTTTAGGATAGTGTCGACGTCAAGATTGAGAAGTTCCCACTGCGACGCACTTATTAATTCCCCTTCTTCACCACCTCTTTGGGGAAAACTAACCTAATTGTAGGATATGATAGGTATCAATAACAATATTAAAGCAAATAAATAATACTATCAAATACTATGATAAATATATGGGATGTTTTCAGGGTCTGGAAAGGGGGTAGGGTGGGGGTGGGCCTTGATCCTGCATTTTCGCTCCTTCCTCACGAAAATCCTGCATCCCGCTCTTTTTTCATCGCTTTTTCGAATTCCTTTTTTGTTTCCAAACATAATGAGATAAAATAATTAAAAGAATAAGAATAATAAAACTAATTAACAAGGCACACTATATAGGAGACACCATGCACCAAAAGCGCGCCTGGTTGATTTGCATTTGCTGCTCAATTGTATGACTTCTCGAATTGCCAACATACGAGTTACAAAAAAAAATAATAATAATAATAAATCCCCAATTCCGGGTATAAATTTGGGCGAAGAACCCTTTCTGGCCGGTAGCTGTAAAATCTCGTTTTCCGTTAAGATATGTTACGTCAGTTCCCGAATACCGCACCGTATTTGGTCAAATCTTGGATCCCGAAATTAATAATTTTCTTTTTTTTCTTTGTGTGTGTGTTGCGGAAACAATTGCTGGTGCGCTTTCGTGTTGTGGCGCGGTTCGGTGTCTTTTCAATCTTTTGTCATTATTACGTTGGTGATTGTACCTGTCCACAAGTCAACACCAAGAAACCATTAACTTTTTGCACCGCAATCGATTCCTAAATAACTGACCCAGCTGTAAGTTGTTTTAACCTGTTTTGTTAAAGGAACAAGAAAAGTATTTCGTTTGCTATGTGGATTATTTCAAAACCAGTCTCTTGCTTATTCAATTTCACGTCAATTGTGTTCTATTTTTTTTGTTTTTGTTTTTAACTTGTGTGTTCAAATATATTTTATTTCCTCGTACTCTATGTCAGACCAGTCTGTGCTCGGAATTTCTGATTAAAAAATGCGACATTGCTTTCTGTCTCCGTTTAACTTCATTAAATTACGGTCACCTTATAGTCTTTCGCACCAGCAAACCTCTCCTCCTTCAACAAAGCCTCTTGCAGTCCCAGTGGAAAGTACTTCACATTTCTTCCCGCCCAAATTGCTTCAATGTTGGCGACGGAGCCACCAGCGGTAAGATGTCCCATTGACTTGTCCTTGTCATACCCCATCATGACAGACAGGTCCGTTCCCACTTCGACCTCGTATTTGGTTGTAACAGTGGATGCTTCGGCTGCACAGTTGTTTTGGTTGAACAGCAATGCAGAGATGTAGCCAAGGTTAGCGGGCATGGCGGTCTCCCAAAGAACGTGGCCCTAGAAACATGTTAGCAGTCGATGTCACTTCAAGGAAAACACGTAAAACTATAGCCCGTTTCTCGAACCCCAGAGAGCCGTTTCGAGTCCAAGGCGAAATAAACAAAATCAAAATCTGAAGAGTACAAAGCGCTTTCTGGGCTTGGTTAATTCCTGGCTAGGACAATGGAGAATTCAGTCGATGCAGTTGCTAAAGTGTCTAACGCAACTTAAGTCAGTCGTCTGATCTCGTCCAGAGCAAACCCGATTCAACATATCTTTTAAAAGTCAACTAATATTAAATAGTTTACTGTATGTTAAAGTACATCTTCAAGGAAGTTTTTAAAGTTTCCAGAATGACAACTTCCATGAAATCAATTCTTGTCACTGTTAAAAGCAGACTTGTATCTAATAGGTAAAATTATGTGAAATTTAAATTGGTTTTATGTCTTTTACTATTTTTCTCTTACAAATGGATCTAAATGCCTTTGCTTTTTTGTATTTTTATTTCGTTTAGTCTAAGTACGCCTGTCTAAAACAATACTCAAGAGTCCTGCCAAAATTCCAGTCTTCATTTAATTACCTAGAATCTACAAAGCCAGAAAAGAAGCAACGTAATCAAGTGTACTCAGAATCATATAACCCATATACTTCTGGTGTACTACATAGTACCTATTACCTTGTAACGTGAACTAAAGAATGGAACGGAGTTTCTCAGATCCTTTTGCAATTGGTCCATCTCCGTTTGTAAATTCTCCATGGCATGCTTAAAACCCCCTGCTTCTCGAAGCTCGTCTGTGATGTAGGGAGGGTCACAGGGAAAATAACTGAAAAAAGTATCAAAACAAGCTGTTCAGAATTAACAATCTTAATGATTACGTTGCGGAGGCAAAATGCAGCGCTAGCCCAACACAAAGAAGGTGGGATGATAAAAACTGCTGTGTTACTCTAAGTGCATCAACTAGGTTCATACCAGTACTGAAAGGCGAGGTGTCTAAAAATCCGCCTCTCCTTGGTGGAGTAGTATACACGTTTATACAAAGTTGTGAACGCTACGCGCGCTGTGATTGGTCATTGCCCATGATCTGTTAGAGAACACTTGTTTTATTTGTTTTGTCTAACGTGGCCCGCGGTTTTAAGAAAAAAAAGTAATATAAATGTATAGATAAAATTTTTAAAAAAGCCTCGAAAAACTATAGCAGGAGCCGTTAACAAGCTAGCCTGCCAATACAGCCGTCTCTCCTTGAGGACATTGCGATTCGGGGGAGAGACGTCTGCGCGATTCGGCTACATGAATTCCACAGTGATGACGTACATTTGTCAGCAATCTGGTTAACTAGCACTGATTGGTCGGCGTAGTAATTATATTGTTTTAACTTAGTTGTTCACGAATGATCGTCAAGAAGCAAAAAGTCTCTAATAAAGATCAAATGTAAACGCCATTATCAACATGAAAACGCCATCAAAATGCAGTCATGAATAAGCAGTCATTATTCTTAGAATTCAAAAGACGCTAATTGGAGTCGTACCACCGCTCGTTTACAAACGAAAATGTTACTATAGTAGACCAGGAGAAACCTAAACTAGAACAAATTTATATCTGGAACCCCATGACTACTAGATTGATCAGTTTTTTTTCTTTCTTTCTTTCTTTCTTTTTTTGCTTCCTGATCAGATCAATTTCCTATCACATTTAGCTCGGTTTATAGGGGTTTTAAGGAAAATAGAACAAAATTACTTAACTCAAATGGCGGATCCAAGATGGTGGATCGTTCCAGATCCTTCTTTAAAAATTTAAACCAGTCGCAGGAAGCAAAAAAAAAAAAAGCCAGAAGAGGGTTAAACTCGCTACTGATTTTTTGAGAATAGGCGAAAAAACTTTAAGTTAAATCTTGTCCACGTCCTTGAATCGTAAGATCTCTATGAACTCACCTGTGACGAAATCCAATTTGGGCATCCACAGCTTGCGTCAACAGGTCGCGAAGTACGTCTCCGTTCTCGGCTTTAGGCCCAAGAAACCAGGCCCCAAGTGCGGCCCACTGTTTATGCTTGTCAGCTTTATGGTCACCTCGGCAAAATACTGCCCGTCCATGGGAGTACATGGATGACTTTGATGGACGAGGCCTTTTCGCACCCGAGGCGATGAGCTGGGCAGCGGGTCTCTTACGACGCTGACTGAACATTATAGCCCTGTTCTGATGATAAAAGAAGTTCGTTTTTTTTTTCTTTAATACGTCAAAGAAAGTTTTAATAACGATTACCTTCTAAGAATCTCCTCCAAACTCCCACGTAAAAGGGAGGCTGATGGATGCCGGAAAATTAGGTAAGGGGTGGGGGGGGTGGGGAGTTAGAAAACAAAAGAAAAGGGGACTGGGCGAGACAAACGCCTACACAATAAGAGCTACATTACATTTTTGAGAAGAAGGACGTGGTCTTGGCACGGTGGCACGTACCCGTCCAGTTTAAAAATGGTAGTACCTCCTTCCCCAACAACCGATACCGAACCCCCTTCCAGCCCATGGTGGACTTCGAAAAACTCTTCATTCAAAGACGGCTCCCGTTAGAGCGTTGAAAACGTTAAAACAATGAATCATAAAGAGATTTGTGCTTGGGTTATCCAAAATGTGAATGTGAATTTACACATTTTTATATCCATTTGACGTTAAGTTCGAGCACACTTTGATAAAATCAGAAGCTTTGGACTGGACTATTGGAACAAAGCTCGGACGCAGTGTTAGGAAAAAAAAAAGGCCCTTATTTTTTATGCATAGAAAGGACCTCGAGACAGCATGTGTGTTTATTTTCTGCTTTGCTGTAAATAATAGCCAATTGTGGATATCTGAAGTTAGCCGAATAGTCACAGTCACAAGCAAAGATGATTCACTTGTTACATGCCCGGGGTATGTGTCTTCATGAATCAACGTAAATCAAACTTGCTACGCTGTATGTCAAATGATTTAATCCTTTAATGCCTAACACGGTATATATGGGTAAAAAATACTGTAAATGCGTTAACGATTTGTTTCTTGCCTTACTTTAGTCGCAACCGATTGTTGGTTTTCACATGACGTCACTAAAATTCAAACTACAAAACTATCGATCATACCGAGATTTTACTTTCATAATGTATTAGAGCAGCTGAAAACTAATTTTCAGACAAATGTTCGCTTCAAAAGGGTTCTTGGTTTTGTCATAGAGTACGTTTGAATTTCTAAGCTTTTGCGTGATGCGGCATTTATATGACGGCCAAGGGAGCTGTCATGTAGGTTAAAAAAATGACTTATTTCAGGAAATTTTCCTATCTTAACAGTTCATGAATTAGAAAAAGTTTTACTTTAATGTTTATGAGCTCTTCGAAGAATAAATTCACGCTTTTGTAGCAAAACTCGGTAACAGATGTTTCTGTTGGTTTCCGTTCGCCATGTTGGAGCTCATCCGGATGAGCACCAGCATGGCGTCTCCATACAAATCTCTATAAATTTGGGTAAAACGTTTATTCGAATATCTCGTATACGAAATATTCCTCTGACCCGAATCTTGGCGAGGGCCTTTTCATATTTACCTCCTTTCATTTCCCAGCTTCTGGACTTTATCTACTGAACGGTTTTGATTTCTATTTTGATCTATTTTTAATGCCGTGAAACTGAAAACTATAGCAATTGGACATTTATCCATAGCACTAAATCGTGAATTTTGCAAATATATATGAAAGCAAAAAAAACATTTGAAACTCCCATTTCCCACTTCATATCACCGTTCGTTCGGCAGCGAAGTCCAAAAAGGCATTGTTTTGGCCGAAAATAATCACTAAGAATTACACTTTTTCGTCGTCGATTTTTCAGGGAAAAAAGTAACTTAAAAATCGAAAGTCTGCGTTTACAGCAACTCTCAAGGCCATACCTTGATTTCTAGTTGGAATTTTTCCTCTCGCTATTTTCGCTGGACATGCTTCAGCCATCTTCATAGAGCCAGTATCGCGTACCTTAGCTTGGCTCGTTCGTGCTCGAAAGGAATTCTTGGCATTTGGTTCACACCGTGAGCGTAGAACGCCTCCTATTCCCATTTTACCAGCGGCCACCCAGTCCTACCAGCGAAATTCTGTATCTATTGCTTTGTTTACACGTCAGATGACTTGGAAGCATGTTTGGCGGCTTAGTTAGCGCGAAACCACCTCTCACCTCTGTATTCTTTCAGAGGCTTGTCTTTACTCCCATTCCAGCTTAAATGCCAGCATGGGGTCTTCTGCAGAGGAAAGTGGCTCCAAAAAACACTTATCACGCCATGAACTTGCAACAGTCAAGTCCAGGAATCCGCTAAACGAACCCCGACCTTTGACTTGCGTGACACTCCTCGCATTTGACAAACATCGATCGTTGACTTGCGTGACATTCCTCGCATTTGACAAACATATGACGCAAATGTGACGCAGGTATTTCCATGGCGACTCTTTATATGGAAAAATCAAGGTTTCGGACTATTTATAACCAAAAATTACATAACAGAAATATGCACTTATTCAAGACGCAAAGGGTTATGGGAACGATTAGCATCACGTGGCCTAGATATATTGACACTCCCAGAAAATGTAAGGCCCAGCTAGACTCTAACCAAGGGGCTTTCTTGGGATAACAAAATGAGTATTGGTGCCTTAACCTCCAAGTGAGTTAGTTTAACAGTTAGGGTTAGTAGTGGGGTTTGCGCTTCAAAAAGTAACGTGACAAGT